GCAAAAGCAGCAGCAAGTGCTACAGCCCTGGCATGGAAGCATGCCAGGGACATGGAAGGAGCAGCCAGGAGACTGTGTGAGTGGAGCCCAGTGAACGAGGAGGTGAGGTCAAAGATGTAATTGGAGGGCCAGATTACATAGAGTCTTATAGGTCAGAGTTAGGACTTTTGCTTTTATTGTCAGTGGCAGAAAGCCACTGGACACCATTGAGCAGAGGAGTGGCATGTTCTGATCTAAACACTTTAATCAGGTCATTGAGGCTGCTATGGTCAGAGAAGCCTAAGGAGAGCAAGGATGGAATCTAGAGGACTGCTTATGGGCTAATGTCAGTAATCTAAGCAAGAGATGATAGTGGCTTAAATCAGGAAATTGGGAGTCAGGGTGGTAGGAACTTTTCATATTCTGGATATATTTTGAAGGTAGAGCCCACATAACTGCTGATGACAAATGTACAATGTAGGAGAAAGAAGAGTCAAGAATGATTCCAGAATTTTTTTGCCTGAGCAATTGGAAGAATAAAGTTGCTCTTACCTGAAATTTATAAGACTGTATTTGAAGGCACAGATTATGGAAAATGTGCACGGAGCTTAGTTTGGGATATGATCTGTTCTGTTAGGCATACAAATAGAGATGTCAAGTAGGCATTTGGACACATGAATTTGTAGTTCAGGGGAGAAATTGGGATGGAGCTATTAAAACGGGAGTTCTCACACTGTATGTAATCATTTGGAGAAAAAGAGAAAAGGTCCAAGCACTGAACATGGGCACACCAATATTTGTCAGGGAGATGAAGAGGAGCCAACAAACGAGATGGAGAAGAAGCAGTCAGGTAAGAAGAAAACTGAAAACTAGATGAATGTGATGTCTTGGAAGCAGACTTGGCGGTGGCAGGGGAAGGGGGGGTGGGGTGAGGAGATGAGGGTAGTCAACGTGTCAAACTGCTGAAACTGGCCATTAGATTTGGCTAATCTTTCATGTACAAGAGTAGTTTTGGTGGTGAGGTGGAGGCAAGAACGTAATTGGAATGGACTGAGAGAATATTTAAGGAGCAACTACTGCTCTTAATGAAGTGCAAGCACCTTTCAGGCTAGAATTATGCTTTGTTCACTGCTATATCCTATCAGTTAGTCAGAGAGTGTGAATTCTCCCTTACCCTGACTTTTGTTCTACATAGATCTTCAGCAGATTGCATAGGCCCGCTCACATTAGAGAGGACAATCTGTTTTACTCAGTCTACTGACTCACATGTTGTCTTTTTCCAGAAACACCCTCACAGACACACCCAGGATAATGTTTAGCTAAATATCTGGGCACCCAGTGACCCAGTCAGGTTGACATAAAATTAACCATCCCAGAACCATGTGATTATTGATGTTGCTTTCTTTAAATCCACCATTTGGCTATTTTTATTATTTGTTCATCAGTTCTTTGTTCTCATTTTCCATTTTCTCTGCCTTCTTTGGATTAGTTGGATTTTTTTTTTCTGTGATTCTGTTTATCTCCTTTGTTGGCATATTAGCTGTAACTCTTTGTTGTGTTTTCTTATTGGTTTCTTTAGGATTTACACAGTGGTCCTCAAACAGGGGCAGTTTTGCCTCCCCAGGGATTATTGGCAATGTCTGTAGACATTTTTGACAAAACCGCGCAAGTGCTACTGGCATCTAGTAGGTAGAGGCTGGGTTACTGCAAAAATCTTAAAATGCAAAGTACAATGACCCCACTCCTTGACTAGAAAGTTTTCTAACCCAAAATGTGAATAGTGGTGAGGTTAAAAAATTCTAGTCTATATTATACTTCTTTAACTTACAACAGTCTGCTTTCAAGTAATATTACACCATTTCACATTTAGTGTAAATACAACAGTTGTCCTGGCATTTGTGGTGTTATCCTACATTTTATTTCTGCATATGTTATAAGCCCCACAATAAATTGTTTTTGCTTTAAGGAATCAATTATTTTTAAATATTTTTAAAATAAAAGTATTTTGTATTTAACCCCATATTTATAATTGCTGAATCTCTTCATTCTTCTATGTAGATCCAGATTTTTATCTCATATCATTTCTTTCTGCCTGAAGTACTCTTTCTTCAGCATTTCTAGTAGTGCAGAACTGCTGGTGATGAATTCTTTCCGTTTATGAGTAGGAACCTTTATTTTACCTTTGTCTCTGAAAGATATTTTGCTGGGCATACAATTTGAAGTTGATAGGTTTTCAAGTCTTTAATACTTTAAAAATTTTGCTCCACTGCCATTTATTATGCACTGTTTTCAAAAACAATGAAAAGCATTCTTCTTATTGATGTCTTTTTCCCTCTGGCTAAATTGTAAGGTTTTTTTCTTTACCACTGATTTTGAGAAATTTGAGTATGAGACTTGCTGTAGTTTTATTCATGTTTCTTGTGTTTCAGGTTTTTGAAATTTGGGATCTATTAGTGTATGGTTTTCCCCCATAAAATTCTAAAAATATTCAGCTATTATTTCCTCAAACATGCTTTTTGTTCCCTTTCCTGTCTTCTCTCCTTTGTAGTCTCCAAAGAGGCTCATTGATGCACAGGATGTGTGGTTTTTTCCTCCTCTTTGTTTTATTGCTTTGTTCTATTGCTTTGTCTTCGAGTTCACTAATTTTTCTTCTGAGATGTCTGATCTGCTATTAATCCCATTCAGTGTATTTTTTTTAAAATCTCAAACATTATATTTTTCATCTCTAGAATTTTGACTTATTTCTTTTTTTGTACCTGCTATGTCTCTACTTACTATGTCCAATCATTCTTTAGTTCTTTGAATAAATGGAATACAGATATAGAAAGTATTTTAATGTTGTTGCCTACAATTGCATATATCTAATAATAAAAGGGTAATATGCTAATTAGACCGGACAGCCAAACGACCTTCCGGACGTCCTTGCAGATGAAGCCGTGGAGGCGGGGGCTGAGGCAGAGGCAGTTAGGTGCAATCAGGCAGGCAGGCAGAGTGGTTAGGGGCGATCAGGCAGGCAAGCAGAGGCAGTTAGGGGCTATCAGACAGGCAAGCAGGCGAGTGGTTAGGAGCCAGCAGTCCCGGATTGGGAGAGGGTGCAGGCTGACTGAGGGACCCCCCCCCCCCCCATGCAGGAATTTCATCCAGATTGGGAGAGGGTGCAGGCTGGCTGAGGGACACTCCCCCCGCCACCCCCCCGCAACAGGAATTTCATGCACCAGGCCTCTAGTATATATTAGTGTGTGTATATATATATATATATATACAGTTCTGTGTTCATTTTGATTAAATGATTTTGGTCCTCATTATAAAACATTTTTCCTGCTGCTTTGCATTACTTTTTTTAGTCATTGTGAATTTTACTTTGTTGGGTATTAGATATTTTTATGTTATTGTAAATGTTCTTGAGCTTTATTTTGAGGTGCAGTTAAATAACATTTAAACAGTATGATTCTTTCCAGGCTTGCTTTTAAAGTTTATTAAGTGAGACCAGGGTAGCATAATTTGGGAGCATAATTTTCCCCATTACTAAGTCAATACCCTGACACCTTGTATTACAGGGTTTTGTTGTTTTATTTTTTGGTTTTTTATCCTGGCTGGTGATAAACTGAACTATTCCTGGCTCTATGTGAGGCTGGCGAGTTTGCCCTCTCAGTCTTTCAAGTGGTTCCTTCCCTGCTTTGTGTAGTTTCCTCAAATGCATGCCCTCTTCAGTTTGTGGGGAAATGGGTTGTTAGCTAGTTGCTAAAGTAATTCAGAAAGACTCCTAATGGCAAACAATTGGCTTTGATCAGAAGGGTAGAGGGAAATGTAATTGATGTCATGTCCTTAAAAGAAATAAAGTTGAATACTAGTGATGTAACTAATTTCTGATTTTTTTTAAACTTAAATTATGCTGAAGAGCTTGAATTTTGTTATATTTTATTGTTTTCTATAATCCATACTGTTTACATTGAAGTCACACATCTTTGTACTCCTCAGTTCTCCCACTTGTGATGTTACTTGAAAGGATTCCTATCTGTTAACGTATAAAAATGATCTAGTGGAGAGCAATGGGCTTTATTTCACATACAGTACTTAGATATCAATGTAGTATGTCATTATATTTATGGTTCTTGACTGGCATTTTGGAAGCATAAATACTCAATTGTGTGCAATACAAAGGCATATTGCAACTGTACTCGTAAATTCATAATTGGTAGGTGGTGAAATATTTATTTAAACTCTATAGGTTGGGTAGAAATCTTTGTTTAATAGGAGCCTATATTGACACAGAAAGTAAAATTAGAGCTTTTTCAGATTTTTTTATAAATCATTATTGATTTTTGATACTTGCTATTGACAAAGAAGATTGTACTCTACTTTTAGAATTAAGAATGATTTCTCACTTTTATAATCTCACAAAATTAATTGAACGTGTGTGTGTTTATGTATTTATTTTTATTCCTAGACAATAAACTTAGGAAAATAAATTTGCCACTCAGCTAAAGGACTAAATTATTTCATTCCTAGATCTTATTACTTTTAGTCTGTTATGAAGCTTCCTATTAATTTAGAAAGTTGTAACAGAAAGCATATGCTTTATAACACCTTTTTATGAGACATTTTGGGTATTTATTAAATATCTCATCGATTCTCAAAGATAGTAAGGGTAACTCAACACTAATGAGGAGGACTTAAATCTCAGGAATATTTTTGTACTACCTGAAAAATACACCGTTGCAATTAGCATGCTAGTGTTCTATTTGGATTAGGCATGGTCTTGAGTGTATCTTTTGATGAAATGAAGGCATTCTGTTGAATAATTTTTAGCATAAGGGCTATATGCAGCATTTGTAATAGATACCATTATTTAATAGAATATACGTGATAATAATTACAATTATCTACATTCTGTTTTATTGTAATTAAGGTAGTAAACCAATATATAGAACTTTCTTTACCATTCAGTTTATTAGTAATCATTCTAATTATCTCTTCTTTATCCATCTGTCCCCATTACCCCTTTTTTTTTCCACTTACAGCTCTACGCCATCCCTTGGTTTCTCACCATGTTTACTCGTAAGTATCATTTCCCTTTCCTTTTGCTATTATGTTAGCTAAAGGATAACTCCATTCCTCTCTAGTATATTTATAGTAGTATCAGCAGATTTAATTACATAGTCATTCATGTGTATTTCTAATGTAATAGAGTCTGGTAGAAAAAAATATTAATTGTTCTGACTGCTGAATATAAAAATGAGTATTGTATTGAATGAAAACCTGTATTACATATTGTGACATTCATAAAATTTATTCCTTCTATTGAAAAAGAAATTAATATTAACTATAGGATTTACATAAAGTTTTGGAAGGCAACTTTTACAACCACATTAGGCTTAAGTTTTTAAAGGTTCTCTAATAATAAATTCTTTTATTTCCTAAACTAGAATTCCTTTAGAAATTAAACAACTTATGTGAGTGTGTGATACTTTTACCAATTACTAATATTAATACAGTGATCATTCTGCTTAAATATACACACATGATAAGTGAAATATAATATTTGAAGTAAATCTATATGCATTGGCCTAGAAAATATCTACAGTATTATTAAATGGAAAAAAAATGTGAAAAATAGAAAATTGCTAATTGGATTTTTTGATGTGAATTTAATAAAGAAAGTATTTAGAGTGCATAATAGAAATTAAATAATATTAAAGTTCAGCTGGTGAATAAACTTATCAGAATAATATAATTATCTGGAAAATTCTAGGAAGAAATATGTTATCTGGGACAACTACACCAACATTCATAATGAAGGTTAGAAAATGTCATGTGTTTGACCAATCTGATTATCAATATTTTAAGATTCCTTAGGAAGCAATACATTTACAAAGCCAAATTAACATTTTATAAAACAATTTGATAGTCATGTTCTTAATAGTTTTAACCATAAGGTAATGGTCATATGTCTAGTTAAGCAGCTTGTTATTGTTTTAATTTTTATTTTGTTTTTTATTGTAATTAATTTATTTATATTTTGTCACTTTACAGATGTTTTTCCACTGCACAAAATTTTTCATCTCTGGGATACCTTGCTACTTGGAAATTCCTCTTTCCCATTCTGTATCGGAGTAGCAATTCTTCAGCAACTGCGGGACCGGCTTTTGGCCAATGGCTTTAATGAGTGCATTCTTCTCTTCTCTGATTTACCAGGTACAGATAGAAATAAATGGAATCACTAAATGAAATTTAATTATAAGATAACGAGTCATTCTTATACCAATTTGCACAAATCATCACTTAAGCCCTCAGAAGCTCTTCTGCTTGAGCCTCGTCCCTCTGTAAGTCTCTCCTTTGAATACTGCCTCTTCCACCGGCCCAGCATTGTAGATACACTCTAGCTCACTCTGGTTTACTTTCATGTCGGTTGTCATCAAAAGGGTACAAGAGCCAAGGGTAATACCCTATTTTCCTTTTTGCTTAGGACAGACCTGTTTGACTTCAGCTGGTAGAGAGTAAATAAAGGCCACTTGGGAAGGTGTTTGAGAATCTCTATGTATACAGAGATGTAAATCATTTGAAACTTGCTTTCTCCTATTGATAGCTTCTTGCTAACAATTTGACAGATTTAGAAAAGGAAACAATGTCCTCTTGGGAGGGCCAACCACACTCTAGGGCAGTGGTTCTCAGCCTTCCTAATGCTGCGGCCCTTTAATACAGTTCCTCATGTTGTGGTGACCCCCAACCATAAAATTATTTTCGTTGCTACTTCATAACTGTAATGTTGCTACTGTTATGAATCGTAATGTAAATATCTGATATGCAGGATGTATTTAGGCGATCCCTGTGAAAGGGTCATTCGACCGCCATAGGGGTCGCGACCCACAGGTTGAGAACTGCTGCTCTAGGGAAACCACGTCCCCTAATGCAGGGTAGTAAGTTAAAGCTATATATTGTGTTTAAGTGAGGAGTTTATAAATTTAGGAGTTGAATGCTTAAGTGTAGAAATGGTTGAAAAGATGAAAGTAACATGGTTACCTAGGATATAACAATCTGTGGAAGAAAAAACTAAACCGAAATGTATTTCAGGTAGAATTCTACTTTATTCAAACAGCATTTTATTGGCTCCAGTCCTTCTGCTGAATTTATTGCTGATCTCTGTATTTTTAGGCAGGCACAAGTGACTGCTGATAATAAACACTTAAAATTACTCAAGAGATAAATTTGCCTAAAAACCAAAGAACAAAAGAAAAGCACATTAAGGTTATATATTTATTAATTACTCTCAAGAGAAATAATAAACCTGCTGCCTTTCCTGATTTTTTTTTATTCTTTAATGCTTATTGCATTTCCTATTTATTTCTCCCTTCATTGTAGACATTAAGCAGCAGAGATGATAGATGCTTAGTAAAATGTGCTAGTAATGGCATGCACATATCATGGATTTGAAAGGCTGAGTGAATTAAAGTAGGAGCCAATAACATATTCTGTCATCTTTTCCCCTTTGAACTACATTACCAAGATTGTGTTTTTAAAATATATCCATTCATTTATTCAACAAATATTCATCGATTTCCTACTAGGAATGTGTGTTTATAATAAGTATATGTGTATGTAAGTCTATAATAATCTTATTTCTGGTTTATCTTTTTTTTTAATTTTTTTTTTTTTACTGACCCAGAGAATTCATGCATAATTATTTAAAGGTGATCCAATGGTATCCTGTAACTGTGGCTGACACTTCTAACTTTGGTTATCTTAATTACATGTGGTACCTTCTAGTTCCAGTAAGTTACTTGCCTGGCTGGTGCATTAGTTCTTTAATTTTTTAGGGAGGGAATTCAGCTTCCCTCTCAGAATTGCTCTGTAGAATCAATAAGATTTGGAATCCAATGGAATGTTAGGTGTGTGGATGTATTCCTATACCCTAACTAAGGTACTGAGTGTGGAGTAAGTTAGGAAATGGGTGAGTGGGCATGGCACTAGGAAAGATAATAAGTTAAGTTTTAGATATGTGCTTAAGATGTTTATGGGACCTAGATTAAGAAGCTGAGGCACTATTAGAGATTTTGAGTGACAAAATGACAAATATAATTTAAAGATTAGTCAGAGACTAAAATTTCCTCTAATATCCTTCTTTTTTGTCTCCCCTGTTATCTTTGGGTTTCCTTAGAGATTTCTTTTTAAATAAGTTCTTTCATTTGTATTACCCTTTATCAAACAGGAGCCCTATTGATATGTAGGTAAACTGTAGGGAAGGGGAAGTGTTTTGTAATCCTCTAATTAGGTCTCAGTCTTTTATCAAGCCTCTGTCTCTGGGTTGTGACCTTCTCAGGTGCTTCTTAGTGTCTGCCCTTTAGATGAGACAGGAAGGCTGGAGGGAGCCAGAGTTGGGTATTTCCCTTTCACTTAGGCTCTGGTAAAATGGTTCCCATGCGTGCAGGCTTTGTTACGGAGAACAAGATGATCTGGGCATATTTGTAAATGCCTCATTTTCCACTTTCTCTAGTGGAAGCAGAAGATTTTTTTTATGATCTTTATGATATTTAAAGCACTTTAAGATATATAGTTGATATATAGTTGTCTAGACATGTATTAAGTTTGACATGTAGCTATTTCCTGTGCTGTTTATTCAATCTAATATTTTCTCCCTTTTAGATAGTGTTCCTCCATCTGTTCACTTTGATTATATTTTCCTTTAAATCCTTGAATGTATTTGTAGTAGTTACTTTAAAGTCCTGTCTGCTATTTCCAATTCTGGATCATCTTTTGGGTCTATTTCTATCAACTTCTGTGTTTCTTCATTGTAAGTCATATTTTTCTGCTTTGCATATCTAGTTATTGTTTATTATATAATGTATATTGATAAAGATACATTGCAAGGAGTCTAGGTTTTATCTTCTTTTAAAGACTGTTAAGTTTTGTTCTGCTAGATAATTAAATAACTGCTGGGTCCTTTTATTTATGTTAATTTGGTTTTAGTCTCTTTTAATTCTCTCTTAATTCATGAATGTGGCATGTCGAGGTTTTTAACTAAATACCCAAGGTGATCAATGGGAAATCTCACTTACTGGACCAGACTCCAACATCTCTCAACAATTACTCATCTTTATGGTCCCTCAGCACTTACCATTCCTTAAGTATAGTAAGTCCAATTTTAGTTCAATTACATTCAATAAACAGTAGGGTGGCTTTAATGGACCCGTTGGCATGGAGAAATATCATTTAGCCCTAAACCTAAGTTTGTACATTGCTAAGTCTCATGTAGTGAGTTCATTTCAAAAACTAGATTGTGAGTAGGAAATTTGGGCAAAGTCAATAGTCTCTAGTTGTAACAACTCTGTATCACTTTTAGAGTTTACAAAGATTTTTAAATATTTTATCTTGTATAAATATCACAACTATGTTAATAAGTAGTTTATTTTATCTCCATTTTGCTCTTGAAGTGATCTTGTGGAATGCTCATTATTATGTAAGTTAGTAACTGGCATTTGGAGTCCAAGTGCAGTACTTTTCACTATACAAGATAACATATTATTTGTTTACAAAAGTAAGTTTTTGGAGGTCAGAACAATTCCATATGTGCAGTTTCAAATGGTTCAAACTAGTAACTTCATCAGTTCAGTTCTGATTTCCTCAGAAACTCATTTTTAACTATGAAAATCGCAATAGCTGATAGTAGATAAAACCGTCAAGTAAAATACTAGCCATTTTTTCTTTCCACATGTGTGAGCTCTTTCTCAGTGAACAGCAAATAAAATTTCTATTAAAAAAAAGTTTAACCTAGTTTAAATATAAAACATTACCTCCACAACTTCTCTTATTTATTTATTTTTTTAATATATTTTATTGATTTTTTACAGAGAGGAAGGGAGAGTGATAGAGAGTAAGAAACATCCATGAGAGGGAAACATCGATCAGCTGCCTCCTGCACACCCCCTACTGGGGATGTGCCCGCAACCAAGTTACATGTTCTTGACCGGAATCGAACCTGGGACTCTTCAGTCCACAGGTCGACGCTCTAGCCACTGAGCCAAACTGGTCAGAGCAATTTCTCTTATTTAAATAAGTCATGTATTCTAGTTGTGGTTTGGATATACAAAATGATTTATCTCCCATCCTTAGCAGTTCTCCTGGCTACTTATTCCCTAACTTCCTCACAGAAACAACCATGAGCTTGATATCTCAAACAATAACTATACTACTGTTAACTACAGAAGAGAGCTGTAGAGTATGTAGCCTTTTCAGACTTTTTCCTTCATGTCTGCTCAGAGCTTTATAGATCATTAATATTTATTACTGAATAATATTACAAGTCCTTGGACTTTGAAAGGTAGAAAATAATATTTTTTAAAAGACGATCTTTTTCTAAAGAGAAATTACCAAGAGCAAAATAGAAAATTAACCTATATTCTAAGTGTGTTTAAAACAAGAAGGCAGACTAACTGGAATCTAAGGCCTGATGCTTTTGTTGTGTTGTGTTGTGCTGTGTTTTTTTTTTTTATTTTAATTGAATTGCTAAAATTTTTCATGTGTTTTATATATCTGTAAGTTTATCTATAAAACCTCGGGTTCCTACTATATGCTGGAATAATCTTATTTCTACTTCATAACATTCTCGGGAATTAAGTAATATCAACCCTAGGATTGAGAAAAGAGATGCAGAAAAATGAGTTGGCCAGAGCTATACAACTTGTAGTAATTGAGTTGAAATTCAAGCCCAGGTCATGCTGCCTCCCATGTTACTGCTCTTTACCTTATATCATTTGTTATACTGCTTTCTGGGAAAATATATTAACTGCCAGAAAGCTGTATAACTCATAACCTAACTTTCCCAACCCTTTTGAACCAGTCTTTAAAGCTTGAAACTTTTCTAAGTAGGAATGACAAATTATACACATGTGATTATCTCTCCTCTCCTCTGAAATATCACTGAAGTGACAGTAAGAGAATGAAAAAAAAAAAAGATAATCCTAAGAACAACAAGAATGTAAGAAGAGTATGAGTAGACAAGAAATATTACCAAATATTTGGAAGATAGAAAGCAATTCCACCAGACGTAACTCACTTAATAAACCAAAGAAAGCTGAACCCTTCCTGCAAAGGAGGATACCAGCAAGAGGCAAGCCAGTTCTTGATGCAGAGCACCAGCCTCAGGAATTGAAAATGAATGGAAAATTGGACAGAAAACTAGAGAGAATCAATTGAATGTT